CCAGGCGCTGCTGTCCTGGAGGGGGGGGGGGGGCAGAGGGAGAGGGAGGGTCAGCGCTGCGGTGCGGAGCAGTGAAGTCAAAGGAATTCAGCTTGTTTCTATCTCTTTTTTATCGTCCTTACAAATATTCCTTTTGTTTCTTGCTTTTATTGCAAGTGTTTTATATTTGACAAAAGAATCATTAAGGATTTATTCAGAGGATAAAATAACATGATTATATGTCAAATTCAAGTTTTTTACTTAAGTTCCCCTTAATTTCCCTCTAGTTCACGTTCGAAAACGTGAACACCAGAAACTTAAAATATATTTATTTTTAACTCTATCTCAATCCTGATCACTATCTCTATCTTTATCTCTATCCTGATCTCTATCTATATCTTTATATTTACCCTAATCTCTATCTCTATCTTTATCTCTATCCTGATTTCTATCTCTATCCTGATCTCTGTCTCTATCCTTATCTTTATCTCTATCCTGATTTCTATATCTATCTTTATCTCTCTCTTTATCTCGACTCGACCCAGCCTACCTCCTCCGCCGCGGGTTTGGTGGAGCCCTCGATCTCGTTGTTCTCGATGTCGTCCGGGTCTGCCTCCGTGTCGATCTTCCTCTCCAGAACCGCCTGCTGTCCCGCCGCCCGTGACTGTCTCCGAAAGGGTCTCTCGCACCTGGGACGTCGGGAAGGGAAAATCGGGGAGTGAGGCTACGGTTTCGTCTCCGCATTAATTCTAGGTTTTTGCGTTGACTGGGTGTAGGCTTGCAGGGTAGGGGGGGGGTGATAATGTGTACTGCTGCACTGTATTCGTCTGCGTTGGAGGTTCGTCTACGTGTGTCTCCGAACGAAAGTTGAAACTGAGATGAGGGAGTTTATATTTCGCACTATCAGATATTCAGTTTGAAATGCAACTACCAAACACGGAGAGAACTCTGGTAATGTACTCTTTAAACAGGGAATAAAAGATTAGTTTTTTCCACGGGTCTCCACTCACCAGACAGGCGCAAATGTTTTGGGGTCGCAGCAGACGCGTAAGCTGGACCCGACATTAGTAGGATACAAGTCCTGACTTCCACAGGAGGCATAGAAGGAATAGGTGTCGGCGGGCAGGCGGTCGCAAGGAAGGCCCTGATCAGGGGTGTGCGTTTGAAGCTGCTTGGCAATCGCCAAAACCTGCGAGGAGAGACATGGGTTAGTTTAGGTAACTTTAAGGGGATTATTGACATATAGTTATAACAATAAGTAGGAGCATATAAAAACTCAATACGTAGTATCTGTTTATTTAATAACTAGCAAACACACCTGTGTGAATCTGTGCACGGGTGTGTCTGTGCGTGTGTTTATCTGAGCATGTGGGTGCGTGTGTCGCGACAAACAGCAGATGGCGTCGTTTTAGCAAGCAGTGGAAGCGTGACAGTACGCCATCTTTATAACGTGACCGATTTACTCCTGAACACATCACCATAACGCATCCTGCCCACGCAATTTACAGTAAAATGCGACGAAATGTGCAGTCATTAGCGCTCGAGTCAATGTCCTGACCCAAAGCAACTCACATTTACTCGTAAAATCGGGAGGTAACCTTGCAACATTTTCTCCGCGATTTAATGACTGGCATTAGTAATAACATACAGGTATTTGGTCTTACGTTTATTGCTTCTGTTGATGTGAGTGTTGTGTGAAGCTTTCATTTTTTATGTTTATTTTATTCATTTATGTTTTTTTTTTCCTTTTTTTTACAGAAACCTTTCTCTTCTGACCTCATCCTGTTCAGTGCCTTGCATTTGTTAATGGTTCATTCACATCGCTTTTATTCCCTGGAAATATGTTTTTGGCTTAATCTCTTCCCATGCATTTATTTGTTTACCTACTTACTATTTTTAATGCACTTGCATTTGCTTACGCGTCTATGTATTTAAGTGTGGAAAATTGCAAATATACATTTAGTTTCTTTCTTTTCCTGCATGTTTATTTATTTATATATCTATTTATCCATTCATTCATCCATACATCTATTAGCTTATAATTAGCTTATTAATATTAATCTATCTATCCACATGTATTTGTGTGTGCCTATACTGATATGTACATGCCTGTGTATATAAAATAACCTTCGACTGTTATCTCCGTGCTTATATTTATGCGTACGTGCATATGTATTTTAAGTATCATTCATCTTCCCTCTCTTCCTCCATCTCTCTGTTCTTATATTTATGTGCACGTATATATAGAAATACCATTCGTCTTTTCTTTCTCTCCCTCCTTCCTTCTGTTTCCCTCCCCTTTCCCTCACACAGCCAAGCGACCTTTGACCCAGCGAGGTTTGAACTCCCACCCTGCAGCCAATTACCCTGGGTGCGTGTCTCGGTATTGGCCAATCCGTGATCAACAATATTTCCCCCGAATCCAGTACCCGGATGTAGGCCGCTTTCGTACGGTAGAGATCGCGTCACGTACAGACACTGCAGTCTGTAGAGACGTGGAATTGGATGGGCACAACGTGAA